TTACTATAGATATCTTTCCATTTATTGTTATTTCCATTTATTACTATTTTCATATCCTTGTAATTTATTTGATTATAAATAAAATAACTTTCACACCATTTAGGTGTGGTGGATTAATCAAACATTCACATGGTATCAGAGCCATTTTGGTTTAGCAACCCGGATTCTTTCTTTTCAATGGCTTTTGAAATCTTCTACTGTTCTTCTCCACCACCACTGTTGGCTTTGACGCCGCAGGGGCAGTCGTCATGGCTGCCACATGCAGAGCTGATTGATTATTCTTCGGCTCCACCCTTTTGACCTCCAAATCATCTTTCGCCATACTCTGTACATACAACCTCACCTTTTCCAAACATAGCCTCTTTCATTTTCTTCCCAATTTTCCCTTCATCCTTCATCCTTCACCTTCACAAAAACCCTAATCTTAGGATCTTCATCAGCATTCCTCTTCGAAAATATACAGAATCTCAATAAGCCCATCGACCTTCTGCAGAGATTTACCTTTGGAATCTGAGCGCCGCATTGGCATCTTCGCCAACCAAGTTGCCGCCGCCCTTCTTGCCAAAATTGGCTCCTTCGCCCCAATGTGGCGACTCTTCCAGCTGCCCTTCTTGCCAAAATTGGCTCCTTCGCCCAATGTGGCGACTCTTTCGGCTTCAACATTGTCTTTGTCCCTTGCTCTAGGTTTCCCCTTCTACTTCTTGGGGTTAGACATATTCTCACCAGAGCCAAGGCAACATCGTCGCTAAGCGACAATCCCTCTTCATGGGTTAGACATATTCTCGCCGAAGCCAAGGCAGCATCGCCGTTAAACAGCAATCCCTCTGCAATTTTCGATGGCCAAGAAAGTGTTTCTCTACGCCTCCTCTGAACCAGGTTGTTGACATCTTCACGAAAAGTGTTTCGCAACCTCTTTGAATTTTTCAGATTCAAGCTTCACGTTCGTTCAAATCTGACGCTCAGCTTGCGGTGGGGTGTTAAGGATATTTAGTAATAAATTATACTTTCTCGTATATATTATATTTGATATTTTATTATAAGACAAATATCTAATATTTGCCTTATTACTATAGACATCTTTCCATTTATTGTTATTTCCATTTATTACTATTTTCATATCCTTGTAATTTATTTGATTATAAATAA